GCACGATGAAGAAAGGCCCCCAACTCAATAAAAACAAAGTTTTGGCATTAAAATGTTTATGCTATTAAGAGGAAAGACCAAAGTATTTTTTTTTTTATTATTTTTTGAAATTTTTTTACTTCTTTGTAGCACATTGTAAATTTTGGTTAAAAATCTTGTTTTTTTTTTAAGTCAGCAGCAGACAAAAGATAAAGGTTAGTTTTTTTGTGCTTTTTCCAGTGAAAAACACATTTATTTGGAAATTCTTTCAAAAATCAAATAATTGTGGGATTTTAATGAAACTTTCAGGACATATTCAGAAATTAATTAAATTTTTCTGAATTTTTTTTTTAGAAAATCTTGGTAAAAAATATTTTACTTAATTTCATGAAATTAAGAAATTAAATTTTTAGAATGGGGATTTATTTTTTTTTAGTTAAAAGCAGGACTCCTTGGAGAAAGTAAATCATCAATTTTTTTTTGTAAAACAGTTGGCCCTTTCACTGAAAATCTGCTCTGAATTGTAAAATAAAAAATTCAATAAAACTATGACATTATTTTATTTGAAAAGCTTTTAATTGCTTTGATAAATAAGATTTATTAAGGACACTATTGTCTTAAGAACAAAATTTTTTTTGATGAATAATTAATTTTTACAAGAATTGTTTTCATTTTTTTTTTAAAAATTTAATTAAGCAATTTATAATATTCGTTCACTTAAATTTTGTAAATTTATGCCAAGTCTGGTCATCCATACTAGTTGTCATCACCTTATAGCTTAACGGTGATGTCAATAATGTCAATAAAAACATGATCAAAATAGGACCCATTGTTAAGAAATGCTTGTATACTATATTTTTTATGCTATAAGTAAGTAATATTTGTTTCAAATCAGATTAATTTAACTAATTTTGCTAATTTTACTCAAATAACATGTCACAAATATATATTTTATTTTTAGAATATTTTAAAAATTGATAATTTTGTTTGGTTTACAAATTTCTTAAAATTAAGAAAATGGCTGCTTTTAAGAAAATTTTCTTAAATTGGCTGAAAAGTTGAGATTCCAATCTATATAATTTTTGTTTAAAATACACCAGAATACTGGAAATAGTAAATTTAATCATTTAGCTTTCAATTAAATCTAAAATGAAATCTTCAAGAATGCTTTTACATTTTTAAAAAATAATTTTAAACTTTAGGTATTGAAAATTCAGTGAAGGTCCCTATTTTATAATATTTTTTTGAATGTTTCAAAGTATAATAAGAAATTCAGATCCCCAGCTTTTTAGTATCTCACTTCAAAGTTTATGTGGTGGAGATGAACACAACTCTCCAGAATATTTCATGTACTCATCCAAATACATATAGACTGATGTTGAGTATTATATATATATATATATATATATATATAGAGAGAGAGAGAGAGAGATCTAGTAGAGATCTGGCTTGTCTGCTTACTACATATTTCAGCAAGACTACAGTTGACTCCAAATGGCATTATATTTCTTGATTGTCTTTTCGTCATTCAGTGGAATGAAGACACAACAGTGGAGATGAAGATTTGAATACACACACAAAAAAAATTTTTTTCCTCTCATTTAGCATAAGTAGCTATCAAAGAAAAATCAAAATTCATGGTAAAAAATTTTGTGGAGTTTGTGTATATTCATAGCATGACATGGAAATCATTAAACTTCAAGGCTGTGTGATATACTGCTATTAGGAAAAAACTTTTTCTTCCTAAATATCTTCAATTCTTCTATAGAATATTATGTCTGTACAAGTAGTTCTTTACTTGTAACAACATAATACACTATGGAAGAATTGAAGATATTTATTCAGCAACTATTACAACAAATGCAATGGGAGCGAATTGAATGTCAAGAACAGATAAAAGAAATCCTAGGAAAGCAAGGAACAGACTATGCATCAATTTCATTTTCATCAGGCTCAGTCACTAACTCAATTAGTGAATTTAATTACATCTCAAAAGAAAACATTACATTCCTATTGTACTTCAGAATGTACAAGGCCATTTTCATTTTTTTTATACATGTTGGCAGTGCATGAATCTTACTAAGGACAAAAATGAGGATTTTGTCATATAGCGTGTGAGAAATTTAAACTGGATGAATTATCCCCAGACAGATTTAAATGTATAATCTTTGTTAAAGGTCTAATATCAAGCAACAATGCAGAAATATGCACTTGAATCCTTACAAAACTTGAACAGGATTCAAAGTTAATGACTACTGGGGAAGAGTGCCAAAAATTGACAATTTAAGGCATGATACAAAAAAAAAAAAATAAAATAAAATAGTATGTCAGAAATACAAGTAGTTCAAAAAAGATCATAGTACCAAAAGAAAAATCCAGAATAAAAATACTGCAAAACTTAACCCATGCTATGGCTGTGGTATGTTTGATTTCAAAAAGGACTGTCCATTTAAAACCAAAAAATGTTTTAATTGTGGAAAAACAGGCCACAAATGAAGATACTGCAAGTCAAAAAGTAAAAGAAATACATAAATTAACTTGCTGAAAGTAGTGCTACCAGCTAAAACCTGGGAAGTTCAAATAATAGAAAATTCATGACAGTACAAATAACACTACAGTGAGATTTCAATTAGACACTGGTAGCAATATTATAATTATCGATGAACAAACTTGGAACCTAATTGGTAAGCCTAATTTGAGAAAAACTGACAAAGTTGCAAGAGGAATATCAGACAAGAAATTATTTTTTCTTGGGAAAATCACATTTAGCATCACACTTGTAGGTGAAACTAAAAAAAAAGCAGATGCTTACATATTAAAAAATTTCAACTCGAATTTACTAGGTGTTGATTGCCTAGAAATATGAACTATGGAATTGGCTAATTCATTCTGTGGAAAAATTAATTTTCTGAGTAAACTAAAAAATAAATTCACAAATATTTTCTCAGAGGAGTTGGGAAAATATACAAGGTCAAAGGCATTTTTTAAATTAAAAGAAAATGTGATAACAGTGTTTAAGTCTATATAAAAAAAGATACCTTCTGCTGCATTGGAGTCTACACCAAAGTGAATTATTGAAAAAAATAGATTATTCAGAATGGGCCACACCAGCAGTTTATATTAGAAAGAAAAATAACAAGATTTATGTGCAGATTTTTCAATTGGGTTGAATGACTGCCTCCTACCACATGCATGTTGGCTACCAACTCCAGAGGATATATTTGCCAAATTAAATGGTGATAAATTAAAAAAAAATTAACTTGTCTGCTTACACAGATAATATACTTATTAAGAGTGCTTGGTAACAATAATACAGCATTTTCTATTTGTGATGGAGTACTTTTGTATGTGGAAAGTGTAGTAATTCCGTTATCACTACAAAAAAGGATTTTGAAACAATTCCACATAGGACAACTGGGAATAGTGACAATGAAGTCACTGACAAGAAGCTACATGTATTGGCTAAAGTTGGACAAAGATATTCAAAATACAGTTAGAAAAAATAATGGTTGTAATTCAGCAGCAAAATCACCACCTATAAAGTATCAGGCATGGCTGAGCACTAATAAACCATGGGCAAAACTACATATGGACTTTGTTGGATCACTAAATGTTTCTTACTATTTAATTGTGGTCGACAGTTTCACAAAATGGCCTGAGATATTAAAGTGTAAAACAACCTACTACTGCAATAATGATTAAATTCTTATGCAAACTTTTTGCAAGATTTGAAGTATCTGATGGTGTGGTATCCAATAACGGAACTCAGTTTACTTTTAGTGAGTTTCAAAATTTCTGCAAAACTATGCAGTTGAACATTTGACAATGCTGATTTATCATCTGAGGTCAAATGGTCAAGTGAAACAGTTTGTTGACATCTTCAAAAGGGCATTTAAAGGCTTGGAAGCTGAAGAAACGGCACCACAGGAATTTTTGAGCATGTATTTAATGACATCAAATGCAAACCTCACTGCGAAAATGTCACCTGCAGAGCTCATGTTTTCCAGGAAAGTTAGATCCATTTTTGACAAATTACTGCCAGGGAATAAGAAGAAAGTTCAACAATTTCAAACTACCAGATTATTTAAGATCTGTGATAAAGTTTTCTTTAAATGCTTTAAGGCTGGAAAGGAAAATTGGCAGGAAGGAAAATTATTCAATGCCTTAGTAGTATGATGCACATTGTTGAAGGTGGATGATTTTGTCATAAATACATATAAATCAACTGAAGTCTAGGTATACACAGAATAAGTACAATTCATTGATGGACATATACTTTATGATGCCTTTGAAGTACCTATTCCTAAAACTGAAATTACAGTACAATGTTAGGGTAAGCAAAAACGTGACCTGACTGAAATATTGGAAGTGGACTCATGCTGGAAAAAGTATTGACTAAAGAAAGTGCATATCTAAAAATGGAGGTGTTGTGGAAATTAACAAACCTCACCACAATATAATGTGAACTTGTCCAAATACATACAGACTGACACCAAGAATTGTCAGGAGAGTAGAGAGAGAGAGAGAGAGATCTAGTAGAGATCTAGCTCATCTGCTTTCTACATATTTCAGCAAAACTATGCTGACTCCATTTGACATTATATTTCTTGATTGTATTATCTTCATTCAATAGAATGAAGACATAACAGTTTAGTTTACATATTTTTTTCAGATAAAGCAACAGGAAAATTGTTATTTGCTCTTAGTGAAGAAATACTTACATGCATAAAGTTGGTATTGTTAATGTAATTAAGATGAGAAAAGAACCATATTTAATTCTGAAATAAAGTTCTTGAAATATCTCAGTTAAAAACTCATGGATTAATTTTCAGTTCTGTTTAGCGAGATGAAAATTTTCCCATCTTAGTATCTATTGCTTTAATAATAACTGAAAAATCAATATTGTATTTTATTAATTTATAACAAACATATGATAAAAATAATTTTTAAAAGGTATAAATTAGTATATATGTTTGAAAGAATCCTCAAAACATTTTGAGATATTGATTAAATTATCTCACCTGCTCGAAGGTGGCCAACTGTATCTGCTATGCTGCCTTTTTTTACTTTTGTGATGAATGCACCAAGTTGACCTTTATCTGTCATACGACCTCCAACTACTTTCAAACCTGCCAAAATAAAATATGGTGTGTCCTTTTAGAATTCATCTTTATTGGAAATGTGCAATGATGTGAAGCTCTAGCTGCTGGAGTTTGATACAGCTGTCTGAAAAAGTTCAAGTGAAAGACTTCAGCAACATCAACTGCAACTGTAGCCACAAAGAAAGAAATGAAAAAAAAAATCTCCCAGAGATGAGAATAATAAATATCACATTTTTATACGACTAAACTTTCATGCTAATGTTTAGAGGAAAGAAGAAAATCAGTCTCATAGAGGTAATTTAGACTGCAGATCAAATATATTCATGTCAGAAAATGCAACACAAAACAACATTATAAACACAGGGTTTGACTAGCATCATCTAAGGAGGAATTAATCTAAATAGCTTTCTCTAAATTGATATAGGAAAAAAAATAGACATAATAACATTGCACATCCAGACAGCAAGTTTAACAAGAGGTAATTAAACATCAACCATACATTAGCAATTGTTAAAATTGGAACAAAATTCAACAAAAATATCAGAATATTTCTTGTCTGTTTGAAGTTGTCATGCCCTTGTGATACCTAAATATTAGGCAAAAATAAACAAATGAAAAGAAACCAATTTGCATTTGAAATTTATTTTTCTGTCTTACGTTCACTTTCTTTTATAAGTATTAGCCTCAATTTTCTTTAATTATAAAATAAAATGAATACTGTATTGGCCTTAAAAAGATATTTGATTTTTAAAACATTTGTAAAGTTTTTTTATTACTTTCAATTTTATTCTAGTTAAGGATTACTATTAAGATTAAAATTCATCTTTTATTACTTCTTTAAAATTATCAATTCATTCTTTAATAGAAAGTTCAAAAAAATATATATTCATGTTTTCACCTGATTTGTTATAATAAAAATAGTTGGGTATAAATATTTGTAAGCAATTAAAAGATGAAAATATTTAAATTGTAAGTTTATTGAACTAAATTTAATTTTTGTAAATAACAATAATTTAAACTAAGCTATAAAAAAATGCTTACTGTGTTAGTTATAGTAAATAATATTCATGAACAAAGAAAATATTGAAATATATTTGTTCATTTTTACAGATATAGAGAATAAAATCAAGTAATTTGAAAAGTTTTTTGTAGTTAAAATATTCATAACTTAAGTGAAACAATCATAAAAGTTTCTTTAAAAGAAAGTGCAATAAGAGAATGTGCTACATGCTAAGATACAAAGGGGAAAAATCATTAGAATCATAAAAATCAACTATTTAGAAAAATCTTATCTTGAATCTTATTAGCATTAAAATGAAATAAATTATATGTATTAAACTTAAGGCCAAGAAATATGAGACCACAAATCAATAGCCATATCTTAAAAGACATCAAACAAGTTTTTTATGGAATATAAATTTGGAAATGACAAATGAGGATTTTTACAAGTAAAATGGAGGCTGAAACCAAAGGAACCAAATATATTAACAAATTAGATGAAGTGAAAAACAAACATCATAAAATAATATACTTAAGAATGAAGATTTCTCCATTTGTGATCATCTTTGTATGCAACTCATGCTGAGTGGAACATTTATAAATTACAACTGAAATGAATTTTTGGTAATATTAATTGCAATATATTTAACAAATCTATAACATGATTTATATTATGATGTTGAATATATATATATATATATATATATATATATATATATATATATATATATATATATATATATAAAAAAACATTTAATTACAGTATAAGTTCTACTTTGCTTTTGAAAATAGACAGTAGATAAAAGTGAAGAAAGGATTATGCAAGTTAAAAAATTAAAGGTTCTTGCTAATATGTCAGTTAAAATTTTAGATGTTTTATATTGCAAAATACTATAGTTAGGTAGAGATTTAAAAATCAAGATGGCTGTCACCAGAATGTGAACACATGTATTTTAAAAATTACTGAATTACTAAACCATCATGACTCATACTGAAACTGCCATTATTGCTAAAATTGTACAAAATATTTTGATAATTAATGGTTGAAGGACAAACTGAAATTATTAAGATGTATCAAGATGCATTCATCTTAGGATACTATGAAATCAGCATATTATTTGGATAGTCAAAAAGTGTAGAGAATTCAATGGAAAACTTGGTAAATGAAAAACCATTCAATGACTGCTAAAGACTTGAATAAGGTGAGTAACTCCTGCTACCAAGTGGATACTGGGTGTATATAAAAGAGTTAAAGACAAAGGTGAACTCACCAAATACAGACAGATTTAAAAAGTAAAAGTGCTTGAGATTTGATTATAAAAATACTATTAGACAGAACAAAAGTAGCAAGATAGATTAGAAGCATGACAATGAGCAATATAGATTTACATTTCAATCAGCATCTATAACAAGCAACACAAAAACCAATTATTTGGCTTCAAAGCAATGACAGTTTATCATGAACAATGACAATATATTAAGTATTACAACATGAAAGCTAAACAGATCATGCATTCAACAATATTCCATAACCAATAAATCAAGAGAGAAATTCTCTGGGTTCTATAGTAAAACTTATAAACCTCAATATAGTTATATTTAAAAATTAAGACAGATTATTATGAATTTTGATTTTATAGAAATTTATTATATATATATATATATATATATATATATATATATATATATATATATATATATATATATATATATATTATAAATATCTATTTTCTATATTACCAAATAAAGATAATTTCATAAAACCAGTTCTCACTTACACAAAAGAACATTATTAGTTTTTGCTCCAATTTTAGATGATGTTGCTTATAATCTTTCACTTTTTAAAATAGCTTATTCTAAAACATTAGTAAGAAAGACCAGCATAAACATAGAAATTCAAAATTCTTACCTGAACATAAAGAATGCAATTATATTGATCAAGATATATATTTAATATACTTTTAATCAAATTTTAATGTGGATGGTATGAAATACCATACACATAATCAGAAAAAAATGATTAATAAATTAAATTGAAGTAAATAAATTATATTAATTTGAAAAGTATATTTGTTATAAAAAGGCATATATATATATATATATATATATATATATATATATATATATAAAAATTGTACATATTTATTTCAATTTACAAAGAAAATTACATTTATATTCCAAGTACCACCATGATTTGAATCAACTGATGTTAAAAATTAATGAAGAGAAAGTTATGATTTTGCATTGGAGCAAAAATTTTTGAATACACATACATACTATCATCTGTACATACATACATACATACATACAAATAAATATATAGACATACATACAAGAATATTTTCATATGCAAAAGTCATTAGTAAATATCTCATCAGCTTAAACTCATTTTGCAAAAATAAAATAAAATTTTAAATGATAATTAAGTACAAAATTAATCTGATAACAAACTATGTAATTAGTATCACTTATGAAAATTTATAATCAGCTCAAATATTCCAAAGTCACATAACTTTATAAGCTAATTCTATATAGTCTAAATTTAATATAAAATTATGAGAATAAATGTCTAAAAAGAAAATAAATTTAAAACAATTATAAGATTATTTAAAATTAAAATTAATGAAATATCAAGTGTTTTCTTTTTCAGAGAACATGATTGTACTTAGAGAATAAATTATATTTAATTCATATAAAACTTTTTTTTTAAAACAATAATTTTAACAACTGAAAATATATTTAATTTTTTTATTTTTCATAATTACTCTTTGCTCTAGGATATATACAAATTAGATTAAAAAAATTCTGCATCCTAATTTTTGAATTTAGAAGAAATGTTTTTTCAAGTTACAAATTAAAAATATTGACCAAATTCACTTATTATCACAGTTTATATTAACTATCAATAGTATTTCAAGGAGATACAAGTAAATAACTCCTAAGATATTTTGTAAATCTTTCACATATGATGGAAAAGAGCATAGTTGAGATAGAATTGCAAATGTCTTCATGCATATTGAACAGTAGAAAGCCACTCACTCCAATTTCAGAAAAAATTTTTTATATATAATACTTTTTAAAGAATTAATTGATTATTAAGGCTGATCAAGGAAAATGTTTTCTTTAGTAATATTAATAATCAAGCTAGAATTTCTAAAATTCTGTTAGAAGATTGGTTCTGTTTTTTTTTTGCAAAAAAACAGCATAATTTTTAAAAAATAAAGTGCACATCTGACAAAAATTGAAAAACATAACTAAGAATAGATGCAAATGTAAATTTGTATCTTGAATACATAAATACATCAACAGCTCATGTTTATTGCTAGTAGAAGAAAGTGCATAAAAGAAAGAGATGAACCATATGACACAATGATGACAATATTTTTATGACTTCCATATAAGCACCAAATTAAAAATATTAAAAAAAATTCTGGTTGAAAATAAAACCTTTATCTAATTTTTAAATATACACTAGCAATATTACAAGTATGAATATTGTGAAAAGGAAAAAGTATTGATTTTGAAAGTTTTAAAGACAATTTGTCCTAAAGTAAGTAGATAAGATTTACCAAACAAAACAATTGTTTTAATGTTCACTGCTTTTTTAATAACTGCTACTTTTTCCTTATTATTCATTCTTTTTCTTATTATTATTATTATTAATAGTAGTGGTAGTAGTAATTACATATATCAAAATTTTAAAAACAACCTATGGCCACTTTCTTTCCATACCATTTTATAAGACTTGCATTTGTATTATTACCTGGTTTATTCCCAGGTATTTGCTACTCAACAGCATAATTTGCACTCATTTTAAAATAAGAACTTTCCTTCAAGTTCAGTTTTGTTTAATGAAATGCATTTACTGAGAGTTTGAAATAGACTTTATGCTCATCAGATTTTAATCACTAAGTTATTTTATATATTTAGGCAGTGACTGAGTATTTTTGAAAACTGAACTTAACTAATTATTTACAAATTGATATTGTTCATATTCACTGTTAATATCAGTTATATTTTGTTGAAAG